TGCTCAGTGATGGAGCAGAGGGATGTGCTCAGGATGTGCTCAGTGGTGGAACAGAGAAATCAACAGAGGGATGTGCTCAGGATGTGCTCAGTGATGGAGCAGAGGGATGTGCTCAGTGATGGAGCAGAGGAATGTGCTCAGTGGTTCAGTGGTGGAAGAGAGGGATGCGCCCAGGATGTGCTCAGTGGTGGAACAGAGAAATTAACACAGGGATGTGCTCAGGATGTTCTCAGTGGTGGAGCAGAGGGATGTGCTCAGGATTTGCTCAGTGGTTCAGTGGTGGAGCAGAGGGATGTTCTCAGGAGTTCCCATCTTCCACAACAATTCATTTTCTGCTGCGTGCAAAGACCGTGGGTGATTTGCTCTCTTTAAACACCATTTATGTTCACATACGAGCCAGGAAAATGTCACTGCACTTGGAACCGAGTGCCTGGGGTTGTCAGCAGGGCTTTTGTGGTGCAGGTTTGGCTGGATCTTTAGGAAAGTTGCCTTTTCCCAGGCTTGGGTGACAGCACAGGCTGCCCAGCTGGGAATGTGCAGCAGGAGCAGCCGCTCCTCGTCAGCCCAGAGTCCTGCAGGGTCCCCAAGATGCTTTTGGTTTTGCTTGAACTGGATTCAAATCTTGTTGAATGATCTATATTGTAATTTATATCAGAGTATTGGGAAGCTAAGTCTGGTTTCTTTTTAAATATAAACTGAAAATAAGCATAAAAGCTGCTGCTGCTCCAGTCAAATGCAGAACTTAGCTCTTGCTGGCTCTCAGAGGTACCTGAATGCAGATGGTATAATAAGGATTGCTCCTGTAAATTGTAATTAAGCCTGATTGTATCAACACCTGCTTTATAAACATTAGCTAGGAAGATGAAAGAGAAATTCAAGATAGCAGGAAAATATTTTGCTTTATTTTGGGGGAAAATGAGTTTATCACATTATCACATATCAGTGTTTTCAGCAGAGCATTATAAATGGATATTGGGTGTGAAAAATTAAGTGAGTTTTTTCTTTTCTTTTTTTCTCTCTCCTCACCTCCTTGTTACTTGGTGTTTTTAAAATTAATCCTTTCCAAGAAGCTGATGTTTTTGGGTTTTTTTATGTAGAGTCAGTAGACAACTGAGCTATTTCACACTTGGGGAGCCAAATTTTGTCTCCTATTGCACATGTTCCAGCATAAATTTGGGCCTCAGATGTTTCAACAAGAGTACTGCAGGCACAGGGTGTAGAAAATTACACTGGAGCTTGTGTAGGTACTCTAGGGAGATAATACTTTCCAGAGTGGGAAATCATTTTACCTTCACTGACTCAGTGACTTTTTTTGAGAAATAAATCTGTTTAAAGCATCCAACTGATTTAGAGAACAGACGATGTGGTTTAATTGCTTAATGGAAGGCTGAGTGGAACTTTAAAGCCATCCTAGTCAAAGGCAAAGCAAGCCTCTGGCATAAATCAGAGGAGCTTAGAAAGTGCTAGAGCTGTTGCTGAGGGTCACCAGTGTCCCAGTGACACTCCTTTTCTCTGGCCTGGCCCTCCCTTTGCCCCAGAATGTGTCCTAAGCACAATTTCAGGATGAGAAATCCAACGCTTGCTCCAGGGAGACAAACATGAGGGGAGGGAGGGGTCTGACTGTGGCAGGAGACTTTGAGAGATTATGTATTTATGGATAATGAATTCATAAATGTATTTATTTTTATATATGCATTCTTGGATTTAACTGTGAGTGAAATGCCTTTAACCTGTAGTTTGGCCCAAGGCAGCCTCTTTGATGGTGCTAGTGCAGAGACACCTTTCAGAGAAATCCATCTGTCACTCTGTGCTGAGCAGTTGCTCGTGCACAGCCCAGAGCAAGCAAAGCCCTGCTCTGGAGATGCTGGGAAGGACCCTGAGGGGACCCGTGTTTCCTCTGCATAAACTGACTCCCACAGGACAGCCTCCAGCAATGGATGAATAGATGGACCCCAGTGTCAAACTTTATCTGGATAACTGTGCCTTTGCCAGCTTGGAGTTTGTTCTCCCCTTTTAAATTATTTTTTGCCTTTTTTTTCCTCCCCTGAAGCTTTTCTGCTAGGAGTGAGATGGTCTCCTACTGGGATGATTAAAACCAGTTGGCTGCCTCTGAAGTGGGCATACCATATAGTGTAGCACGAGACATGAGATGCTCTGAGAAAGCTTTGGCTTATCTATCTGCTCTATTATTGCACCAATTAAAAAGTAACTAAACAAAAAAGGACTGCAACTCCCCCTCCCCAGCCATGTGTACCTGGAGAACGCCATGCTGAATATAGAAACTCCTGAATTTTCTAGTCATCAGTCTTAAAGCTGAGCTGTGGTCATTTTTGGTTTGGCTTCTTTTAATTGTGCTAAAATATATTTTTTTGCTATGAAGGCTTAAAAATCTAAAGCAAAACACAGATTGCTGAGAGAGGATGGATTTTGGTCCAAGTGGACTAGAATGATTACTGCACCAGAGAAATACAAGATTTTACATTTATTTATTTACTATGGGAATGTTCCTTATTTTGAGGCTATGTAAATGCAGTACTACACACATCCATGGAGGACTGTACTTGGAGCAATATCTGCCTATTAAAAATAAGCAGACTGTATATTCTCTCCTTCTGGAGCTGTATTCTGGCACCTTTAATACGGAATGGAGTGAAAATCACAGCCAGCTATTCAACCCTAGGAATGCAGGGAGGTGAGGTGCCAAAACAGAAGTTAAGGCCACGTGATTGGTGCAAATTAAGTTGTCCAATGACTCCTTGTGAAGAACCTTTCAAAATGTGACCTGTCTGTATGAGGGGGATCAGCCAAATGGCTTGTGGCACACCTGACTCTCAGGGGCAACAAATTATTTACAGTTTGGTGCACAATACAAAAATTATTGGTGCTTGCTTGAGCACCCAGCTGCATTTTATGGAAGATTATTTTATGGAAGATACCTGGACATAGTATCCAGGCCATTTTGTAGCAGAAATTGTTAATACCAGTATGAATTGATCAGACTTTCTTCTTACTGAAAGACACAGGACAGGCTTTCATGTCTGGGTGATGAACCAGAGAGACCAAGTTTGCATCTTAAATATGAGCCTAAGGGATTAAAAAACCCCTCTCTGATCATAATGTAGTCAGGGCACTGGGGGACCCAGGGCATTGGAAATCCCACAGCCTGGTTTTAGTGGGATCAGGTCAAAGTATCAGTGAGTTTTGGCCTGCACTGTGATATTCAAATATCTGTATCTGAGTTAATCTGGTTGTGTTCTGAACTAGCACAACCTGCAGCTGCACCTGTTTATTGGTTGGTTTGAGAATAAAACTTGACCTTTTCAATTTGCTTGGAATGGACTCTGGTCAGAATTCAGAGATGTTTTCTCCTGTCCCTGTCTCTGAATGCTGCTAAAATGCATAATGTTGTATATAATAAAATGTTATGAGCATGATGATAAAATTTAGTATGAGGCTGTTTGACAGACATGTGAAGAGAGACAGCAGTGTAACTCTTCCATTTCAAAGGTATTTTGAATATTCTGTGGATTAGCTTTGGTCCCAAAACCCTCTGTTTAAAAGACCAGTATGGTTTCTTCTCTGTGCTTCATAGTATGGCACTGGCTCATAACACAATACATTTTAACCACAAGAGGAAAGAAAAAGACCCCTTTTGCTAAGCCACAAGCATTTTGTACAGAGATATGTTTTGATTCAGCTTTCTTCATCCACCCCAGCCTATAATTTGCTTTGCTTCAAGCTCTGTAGGGCTATGCACAACATGTGTATATTTTTGGACAGTTATTTCAAAACAATCTTTAAAGCTTACAGGAGGTAACTTTGAATTTTAGTGGGGGAGGGAAAAGGAGACAGTTATTTGGAAATAATCACTGTACATGCCCAGTTATGCTTTTGTTCAGAATATTAGAGGTGGCTCCAAAGACCCATATGGACTTGGGCTAAGTCACTTTTTCACAGAATGCTTGACATGAGAAAGGACCCCTGAATGTCACCTTGTTCAACCTTCCTGCTCAAACAGCATCACCCAGGCTTGACTGCTCAGGACTCTGTCCAGACAACTTTTGAATATCTCCAAGGTGAAAACCTCCACAACCTCTCCGGGTTTCTCAGATCAGAAGGCAACTGGCCAAGGTCTTTTTCCAATGTTTGGGGGTTTTTTGATTTTAAAATGTGTCCTCCTGTGAGGCACTCAAGCACTTCCTTACTTTTAAGGAATCTGTCAGGGATGCCCATTGTGAGGCATACAGGCCATATCCAGAAGTAGCATCAGCAGTTCAAGTCTATGTGAAATATTTTGGCTGCTTGCCATTTTTTTTCCTTGCTCCTGTATTTAATAGCTGCCTTTCCCCCCCTCTTTTTTTTCCTTTTTTTTTTTTTTTTTTTCTTTATGTCCTGACTTTCTGGATTAGCAGAGAGACCTTGCAAATGGGAGCTGAAGGGCTCTGTGTGCATGCTCATGGGTGATAGGCACAAATTAGGAGGAGTGTGGGAAAGAAGGGCCCCGATGAACAGCTGCTGTGCCATGTGCATGACTGGGTTGGGAAAGGGGAAGGCAGGTGGTTTTCTGATCAATAAATGTTCTGGCCAGAGCCATCTTGTGGATGCAGTTATGGATTATGTCCCTTTCACATAATATGAATTTATGCCTCTATCCCCATAGGAGGCTTGGACTGCAGTGAATTATACTTGCATAGCTACAGTATGGTTCAAATTATCTGAGTAGACAAGACTTATTTCCAGTTTTTAATGAAACAATAGGGACAGATCCAAACCCTGTCAAAATTAACGACAGGAATCCTGTGGGCTCCTTTCCATTTATTCAAGAGCCACCTAAGAGGGCACTTTACCCTCTAGAAAGAATTTAAAATATAATTTTCTATGACTTCTGGGCTTATTTTCCCTCCCAGGCCAGTGGAGAGAACCCCTATTATTACTTCTGGGAGGTGGTTCATATGCTAGCATTGGATGTGAGTTCTTTGAGAATGTAATTAGGAAATACATCACTTCAGCATTTTTTTTATTGTAAGCATACATCACTGTAATACGGCACTGTTATGAAATAAATACTCGATATTCTGGAAGTATGAACAATTCCATTTGTTCAAAGAACAGAAGGCAGGCAACTTTTCTTCAGGACCACAGAAATATGCTGAAAGCATGCTTTGCATTAAATTCTAGAGCCAGTGGGTCTAGGCCCGTGGATGTGCAGCCTGTGGAGACGGCAGCAATTCTGGCAGGCTGGTTAATGAAGACAGAGAAGTAACACCTTGAGAAATAAAGCCATCCTTTTCCCTTAGAGTCTGGTAGATTTTTTCAAAAGACATCTGGACAACTTGCCTGTGTACAGTGATTTGTACTACCTGTGTGGGCCTTTAGACATACCTGTCCTTGTTGTGTCTCAGGGGACACGAGTACATGATAATGATGCTGGTGCAACATTATTTATTTGCAATTATTTGCTGTCCATAATCTGGTTTGCTGTTTCAACCCCTTCCAGTGCAAAAGAAATCACTGCCCAGGTCAGAAATCAATGGCTTTTTGCATAAAGGCTTAATTATCTGACACCCTGAGTCCTTTTGTGAGCTAGAAGTTTAAATTATTATTTGCCTGACCCAAGACACAGACTACTTGAATCTGAGTGTTGTAACAGATTTACTTGATCTAGTGTTTCCTCTTTTGCTATTTTTCACCTCTGATTTTCTGCCTTTTGCTTATTTCAATGCTGGGTACCAATGTAGCAATTATTTCTGGGCAGTGGGTCCTATAAATACAGTTCCGCCTTATGCGAGCACAGCTGGTGGCTGACCCTCTCCTAGAAAATGGTAATTTGTCAAAATAAAAGCATGTGGCAGATATAAGTTTCAGACCTTGTTGGGGGTGGATGGGTTGTATAGCATTTTTTGGACTAAAATACTCTATTTGTTTGCCCAAAATACACATCCACAATTTCTTCTTTCCTTCTTCCCTTTGTTAACCTATCTCTAACTGAAAAAGTAGTTACAATTCAGCATAAGTGGGCCTTGTTTGAACCTAATGAATATTTAATTATGGGCCATACTAAATATTTTTAGGATTTCCTTTCCATGAAAAATTGGATTTCTTTCAGTCTGAACCCACAGTAATAGCCAATGTCAAAATGGTTGAGCTGAAGTGCATGCCAGCTACTAGGTGCTTTTCCCTGAAAGCCATTTGTCTGGTGCCATGGTGATTTACTTAACAAACAGCCTGGCTGGGATCCTGCAGGACACAACAAATGGTGCCCTCCACATGCAGGTGCTGCCATGACAATTGATGGCTGCAGAAACCTTGGGAAACAACACTCAAAAGAGGTGCTCCTGCCCACCCTGGGGCACAGGTGAACTCGAGGATGAGCATGATCCTGGAAAGGTGTTGGTTCAGGCTGTCCTACAAAACCTGTGGTAAAGCAGAAGCCAGGACACAGTTTCCTGCTGAGAAATTGCAGATTATGGCAAAAACCAGAGCTGTCCTGGGTTGTGGCCTCAGCTCCTGCATGATGTCAGAGCACCAGCATTTCTGGTGTGCCTCTGGGTCTGCCACCAGGCTGTTTTGCCTGCACAATTCTTCTTGAGGAGTAGGATGAGGCTCAAAAATGAGCAAAGAAGGTGAATTTATTGCTGATTTAATGTAACTCCAGACACAGTTTGCTGGGGAGGGGCACACATGGTGGTAGTGGAAAAGGGTTTAAATGTAACCACAGCCTTTCCCATGCACTTTAAAATCCCATTTTAAGTGAGGTTATCACTAAGAGTGTTAGGACACAGGCCCTTGTGTCACCTCCTCCTCCTGCCTCTTCCCTGTGCAAACATGGGAGAATCACAAGGAACCCAAGAAGCAACTAAATGTCCAAAATGTTTCTTCCTCTGAGGGGTCATGTGTTGAGGAAAGGTGCTACATTGAGATTTCCAGAAAGCAACATGGAGAAAAACACATAAAAAATGCCCCTCTGAAGTGACAGAGCAGAATTGAGCTGTATTATAAAGCAACTGCACAGGCACCCTAAAATGGTGTTTGGTTGTAGCAGGAGTGGTTAATTTTTACATCAGTCAGTCCTTCACTTGTTCTATCTATATGCCTTCTCATTAGCTTGACTTTTATGGGAAAAAACTCAACTGAACAACTAGTGCATAGTTGATTCTTTCTAATTAATTTTGAATATGATTTTAATCTTGATTTTGTCAGTTGACGGCTAAGGTCCTTTAAGTGCAGGCTTGGAGTCCCTGATTTTTGTTATTATTTTCTTAGCAACTGAATTTTTTAAAGCAGTCCATTGGGAATTGGATATTCATCTTCCAAATTTACAAGCAAAAACTCTTGGGATCTAGAGGAAGTTCTTTCCTGGAATATGTGGTTAATGTGCATTCTTTTCTTCCCAAGGCCTGTGCTTTAGGGTGGGAGAAAAACCTATGTTAAGACTACCTATTATTTTATTATTTCACACATGTTATACAGTCATGTATACACCTTTACTGCATATAGCATTGACAGCTTTGTCAGGCAAGCCTGACTTTCTTTAGTGCTTCCTTTGTGCCCTTAAATCTCAGAAAGTGAATATGCAACAAATTCAACACTGGAGTCCTAGGTTCCTGCTGCCACCTGTTATGGACTTCAAATTCCTCACAACCTGGTGTTTAACAAAAAAATGTAGTTCAGCCTGACAGCCAAAACCTGTAGTTAAAAATCCTCTTCTATGCAATGTCTTGTCTTTACCACGGAAGTATCTGAGTGTTCTCCCCAGCTCGAAATGAACCAGATGACCTCTGTTGGCCAATTTAAAGTCAATCCAGTTGACAAAGTTCTGTTGCCATTTCTTTCCTTAGAAAAGTTGCTGAGGTGTTTACTTACCTGATTGCTTTTTTTTGAGATCTGGCTGTGTGTCTGTACAGACCCACCAAAGTGTGAGTGCCTTAGGGCTGTTGTCAGCATGGATTCAGCTGTCACTGAATTCCATGGAATTTGTCCTGAGCCTGGCAAAGATGAAGCACATCTACTCAAGTGCTGTCAGTGCCAAATAGAGCTTCTGATAGCAAATGAGAATACAATGAAAAACTTGAGTGCATGGGTGGACCCAGGCCTAACCTTGAAGGCTGTCATGAAAGGAAAGACTTAAAATTCAGGATTTTTGGAGAAGCAACAGGAGAAAATCTCAGGTTTTGCAGTTTGTTTTGAGGTTAGTTATTTCTCACTCTGTTAAATTCTACATCTGTAATCTTGTACGGAAAGACAAGAACTGGTGTAATTGGAGTCAGATCTTTGTTGGTGAGGAGTTGATGGCTCTCTGACCTACCATGGTCTCTTACAGGCAGTGCAGTCTATCAGACAGGAATGCAGGTCCTGAACTTGTGGTCTGTCCTTCAGGATCTCTTGGTACACTCCCTCAACCGCTGGATACAGCTCTGCAGCAACTGCTTCCCAGAAAGGATATTTTCTCTTGCAAACATAATTTCTTTCTGCTTGTGTTTGATTCTGGCCAGCTGTTTCTGTTCAGTGTGATGATCTCAACCTGGCACCTGTGGGTAATGGGGATTGAACTCTGAGCCGAGTCACTGCAGAATTCCAGTAACATCCTTGCTCAGGATCCTTGTTCATCCCAGAACATCACTGTTCTTCTCCCAATTTCCCTGAAACAGAGCAGTAAATTCATTGAAACCAAGAACAGTTTTGAGATCTCATTCCATGACTCTTGTGATCCTGAACCAGAGTAAATTGAACATGCAACAATCTGCTCCTCCTCCTGCTGAGGGAGCAACCTTGTCTGTGCAAAGCTCAGCCATCCTCTGTGGTGCAGGTGTTGTGTAGGGATACCAGAGCAGCCCTGAATTACTCTGTTGGCTGCCAAAATGCTAGTATAAATTTAGATTTCAACCCTACTACTGCAGGGATTAACCCAGCCCTAGGAGCCAGTCTTTGCTGCCTTTGCTTGTGTTGACTTGTATTTTGTAATATATGGGAACTACTCAGGATGAGGAAATTCAATGGAAACAGGTCTAGCTATCAATTCACAGTAATTTATGTAGGAGATTTGGCTTTAGGCATTCCCTATGTCCTGGAAATGTGAAGAAAATACTTGCTTTCCTTTGAATGAAAAGCATGTTTATCAATTACCACAGTTTAAAGTGAGTCATTAACTTTCTCTGGGATCACAGAGGACCAGCTGCTTGTTTTTGACTGATTTGATGGGAATTCTGAAAATTGTAGCTGCAGAGCAGGAAGCAAAAGGCAGGAGGTGGTTCTGCCTTTACTAGGTTAGCTCCAGGTTGCTGGTTTTATGTTGATATCCTTGAGTGACATTGCTTCCTATTTAGGGATGTGGATTAGGGATTAATAAAATACAGTAAAATATTCATATTTCAGTGATAATGCTTCCCTTGTAAGTGGTGAGATTTCTGGGCTGAAGCACCTGGTACAACTCACAAGACTTGTTTAATAGAGCAATATTTTTTTTTTCTTCTTTTTTTTTATTTTTTACTAGCAGCCATTCCTTGGTAGGTTCATCAAAGAATGACTTCCCTTTTCTTCCTGGATTTGCTGTCACCACACAGGCAGAGAGATGGTTCAGGGGACTGATAGTGCCATGTTAAAATTAGCAATCTTTCCCTAGCCTGTAAGTAGAGACCGCACTGGTGTTAGTGAGAAAAAACTGCATTGTCTAGATCTATAGTTTGATGCTTTTTGGCAAATCAGACATCTGTCTGAAATAACTGCAGAATTTTTCTGTGCATCAGCTCCACTGCATAAGTGGAAAAGATTTTGCAATAATTTTCTTTTTTTTTTTTTTTTTCCCAATGAGCTAGGATTCCTAAATTAAATACTTTTGGGGGAATATTTATTAATATTGGAAAGAGTGTCTGGAAGTCCACAGGACTTCCACTTACATTTTGGTAACAGATTCTTCCTTAGCTGCATTGAAATAGTATTTACTAAAAAGGGTGATTCTGACTTTGAGACTACTAAAGCTCATTACACCCATTCAAGAGACAAATGGGGTTTTCTGGAAACTATTGATATTATTCCAGGCCACAAATCTAACAAATTTATATAGGATTTACAAGGTCACATGAAATTTAGGGTTTTCAGGGAAGAAAGGCTTACTTTATGGTGTTATAAAGCAAAAAAATTACTGTCACTTTAATATTCTGTAAAACTTACCTCAAGATTTATAGCAGAATGAAAGTTAAATATTGGCTTTGTTTATAAAGCATATAGGAATATACAAAGGAAATGGAGAAATTGATGTTTGGAATTTTTTAATCTATGCATGTGTCTTTGAAGATTAGTGTGGGATGGGTATACATTGTGTGTATATGTATTTTGATACATATTTTAAAAGATATTATCCTCAAAAGCATTTTTTGAATCACGTTAATATACTACCAACTGATTTTCTGACTTCAGGATTAGTTTTGATTGCTGAGAGTTACAGAAGCCAGAAGTTGTGGACAGCTAAAAATAATATGAGGAATTCATAGCTCTATAATGCCTCCAAATTATAAATACAGGAAGCTCAGTGTGAGACCAATGTAGTATTATTGTATACAAAGACCTTACAATAATCTGATTTGCCACAATTTGATATATTGTTTTTTGACAAATGGGAGCTCTGTAGTTTTTATTCACCCAAACTTTACACACATTTCTTTAATTGTCTTTCAAGAAATTTCACCTCTGGAATATTTTAAGACAAACTTAAACAGTCATATATCTGAATTGTTCTCAATTCAGAAGAATTATTAATATATATTTGGACAATTTAAGCACTTTAGGAAATTTGGGTTAGCTACCCTCACAGGGTTTGAGAATTTTTACCTTTTTCTTCAAACAGTAGACCATGCAGTGATGGTCTTGGATGACTTTTTCAGTAGACAAAGGCTTCCCTGAGTGCAGGCCCTCCTTTAGAGCAGCTCTTACCTTCCTGCCAGACCTGGACACCAGCAGTGACATTTCCCAGAAGTGCACTGCAGTGAATGGGTGAATTTGAATGGTTCTAGGAATAAAGATTATTGATTTGGTTTTAGATTTTCCCATACAATGGAAGTATTTTGCAGAGCCCAGCAATTATTCTCTCATCCTTAATCTGCAGGTATTTACTCTTCATTTGTCCTTTATGCTTATTTCCTCTTCAAGCACCTACTTAAACAAATGCTGTAGGTTCAGTGACACTTTTTTGGTTGAAATTATCCAAACCAGAAGACAAATGGGAAATAAGAATGTGGAGTGGCTTCTTTTGTGCTTATGAGGATTTGGGACTCGCATACATGGATGCTTGACCGACTCAGAATAGGTCATTTCATGTTACCAGATGTGTTAAAATAACAATCTCAAAGACGTTTATTTAAAAATCAAAGTTAGTTCATTATTTTGGGTTTACTTTAGTAAGTCTTTAAGTAGCCTTTACTTTTAGTAGGTCTTTAAGCAAGCCAGACTAAAGTATCCAACTTTCACCTCTCCTTGTGAGAGGCTGGAGGGTAATCATGCTGCAGCAATGCCAAGCAAGGTCACAATATGCTTTCAGAAGGATTTTGTTATTTAGAATATTTGGGAATAGGGTCTGAGCCAATATTTAGTTTTGTTTTTAAAGTGCTTGTCCTCAAACACCAGATACTTATACAAATAATTATAAATACAGGGAGAATATAAATAATAGCAAGGCCTTTCAGATTACGCCAGATTCCCAAACAAGAAGTAACCGGCAAGAAGACAAATCTCCTCTAGGACTTTTATGATTTACCTTGTTTCCCCACAGTTTTCCTCTTACAAAGAGTTTTAGCAGGTAAAGTTGTTTGGCAGGGTTCCTTGAAAGTCAATGGATTTTGGTGAGGACCTGAGATGGCTGAGGCAGGGATGAGTGACCCTGATGGAAACATCACCCCTACCATTGTCCTCTCTGCAGCAGGGACCCCAATAACATTGGTAGTCCTGCTTGTTTGGACTGTAGCAGTAACTCCAAGATAATTTCCCAGGCTGCCAAGCTTCAGACCACAGCAAAACTGTCAAATCACATCGTCAGAGTATGATTTCATCTCCTGGAATTCCTTCCTGTGTCAACCCTGCCTTCCTGCCTGTTCAGGAGAGGAGAGTCCTCCAGATGTGACTTGAACCATCTGTACTGGGAGGTTTAACTCTTGCTGTTGTCACAGGGGAGAGCCAGTGCCCAGGTAACAGAGTCTGAAAATGCAACAGCTTCAGTGTGAAGCACCAACACCAGCATGAGCTACCTGATTCAATCCAGGTGAAATATATCCTTCAGCACTGACTTGTCCTCTGGTTTCCATGGAGATGGATGATCTACCTTCGTATTTTTAACTGCAGCGCTTCTGGAGAAGGGGGAACATGAACAAAAATGCACAATAACCACTATATTTTTTACCTAATTAAAGAGATATGCCATGTTCTTGAGACAAACTCAAGAGATCACACTGATGATAAGCAAATTCTGGCAATAGTTGTTTTCTTAATTCTGAATGTGCAGCAAAGGGCTAATTTTGTGTGTCTTTCCTTTAATGAAGTAATCACAAATTGTGTTTGGCTCCACTGAAGTCAATGTCATTGCCCACAATGGAGTAGACACACTCCACTGACACCAGACCTGTTGGGTTTTGCCCAGACTGCAGCTCAAGGGATTTCTCACAGTGAACCTGAGGATGAATATAAACATCTCCCTAGTGTGTCTTACACTTCAAGCAAACCTCTTTGAGGTGGATCAGCTGTGGATGGGCTGTGTAAGCCATCTCAACTATAGAAGCACTGAAACAAAACAAAACAAAAAAAATCCACAATTACTACATCAGCAATGGACTTGCCATATATTAGTGCATGTGTTATTGCTATTCAGTAGTAAGGCACAGCAAAAATACACTTTGATTGTCAGCTAAATGAAGTTGTGCTTTTTCTTTTCTTTATGGGTTTCTTGTCCTTTCTGAACCAGGAAAGTCATGAAGGGGTTTTATAATTTTGGACAGCAATGTGTGCATAGTGCAACTTTTCTCATACAATTACTACTAAGTAATAGTGTCTTGCAGTTTTAGTATTGTCACTTGTGACAATAAAATTGTGTTTCTAAAGATCAGAGGTTTTAAGATGTAGGTCATTGAGTTGTTTGTCTGACAAAGTTCAGAAGCTTTGTTAAAATTGGCAGTTTCCTGATGAGTGTCCCTGGTCATGGAATACAAGAATAAGACATGCAGAATATGGATTGACATTTCCTATTTTATTTATTATCTAAAATACTAATGCAAACTTGGGACAAAATGTACATTTAGTTTTGCCAATGTTTCTCCAAATGACAAACTGGGCAGCTTAACTTGTTAAATCTAAAGGAAAGCCAAGGCTCTGCAACCATTTTACCTGCAACTTCAGCCTCACCAAACCATCACCTATAGCAATGTGGCTTGGTCATGCTTGCAAAGTTGGCAGGGAGGTTGTCTGTATTTACAGTTCTGAAATACTGAATTAAGGATCTTCACTGATTTTTTGGGTTTTTTTGGTAGTTGTTCATTCTGTGCATGAATGTGTGTGACTGTTTCATGAGTAGGAGGAAGAGGATCAAAATGAAAAAGGCAAAGGTGTTTTTAACTGCAGCAGGAAGATTATTTGGAGGAGGAGGGGGGAACCTCTCATTCTC